AGAGTAGAATGGTGGCTACCAGTGCCTGGAGGGTGGGAGGAAAGGGGAGATATTGATCCAAGACTACAAACTTTCATTTATCAGATGAATTAGTTCTCAGGATCTAATGTACAGCATGATGACTATCATTAACAATACTATATTGTATACTTGAAATTTGCTAAGATAATAGGTGATGTATTCTCACCACAAAAAAAAAGATAATGGTGTGAGGTCATAGATACGTTAATTACTTTGTTGTAATCATTTCACTATGTATACATATATCAATACATCATATTGTACACCTTAAATATATATAATTTTTCTTTATCAATAATACCTCAATAAAGCTGGGGGGAAAAGGGTGTGCAGAATTTAGGCCTACTGCAAAGTTAAAGAGAACAGTCCCCAAGACTGCCCTCACTTCTTACATCAATCACAAGTTCGGTGGAGTCCCAAAACCACCCTCAGGTTTGATAACTTATTGAAAGGATTCATAGAATTCACTGAAAGCTGTTAAACTCACAGTTGTCATCTATTATATGGAAAGGATACAAATTAAAATCAACCAAGAGAAGAAATGCCTAGGACAGAATTCAAAAGAAGCACTAAACATGGAGCTCCTATTGTCTTCACCCCATGGAATCATAGACACATTACTCTCCCACCATTGACATGTGACACTTTCTAACTCATTCTATGAGGCCAGTATTACCCTAATACTAAGCCCAGACAAAGACATTATAAGAAAGGAAAATTACAGACCTATGTGTCTCATAAACGTAGAAGCAAAAAGCCTCAACAAAAAATTAGGAAAGTGAATCCAACAATGTATAAAAAGAACTATACACCACAACCAAGTGGCATTTATCACAAGTATACAAGGCTGGTTCATCATTCCAACATCAATTAATGTAATCCATCTTATTGACAGGCTGAAGAAGAAAAATCATATGATCATAACAATTGATGTAGGAAAAGCATTTGACAAAATCTAACACTCACTTATTATACAAAATGTTAGCAATTAGGAATAGAATGATACTTCCTCAATTTGATAATGAACATCTAGAAAAAACCTACAGCTAACATCATACTTATGGTGAGAAACTATTTGCTTTCCTCCTAAAATCAGGACCAAAGCAAGGATGCCCCCTCTCACCACTCCTTTCAACATCTTACTGGAAGTCCCAGCTAATGCAATAAGACAAGAAAATGAAATTTAAAATATACAGGTTGGGAAGGAAGAAACAAAACTGTTTTTGCCCATAGATTACATGATTGCTATGTAAACAAAATAATTGACCAAATAACTGACCAAACAACAAAAACCTCCTGTAACTAATAAGTGATTATAGCAAGGCTGCTGGATACAAAGTTAACGTACAAAAGTCAATCGCTTTCCTTTATACCAAGAATGAAAAATGGCAATTGGAAATTTAAAAACCCCATACTGTTTAAATCAGCACGAAAACAATGAAGTACTTGGGAACAGTTATAACAAAATTTTTTAGGATCTATATGAGAGAAACTACAAAACTCAATAAAAGAAATCAAATAAGATATCAATAAATGTAGAGAGATTCCACATTCATGGATAGGAAGACTCAATATTGTTAAGAAGTCATCTTCCAACTTGATCAAGAGATTCAATGCAATTACAATTAAAATTCTAGAAAGTTATTTTGTGGATATTGACAAACTGATTCTAAAGTTTATATGGAGAGACAAAAGATCCAAAATAGTCAACACAATACTGAAGAAGAAGAAAGAAAAGAAGGAGGAGAAGGAGGAGGAGGGGTAGGAGAGGGAGGAGAAGGGGGACAAGGAGCAGGAGGAGGGGGAGGAGGAGGAGGAGAAGATGAAG